CTTACAGCCTTGAATAATAGCTGTTCCTCGAAAAATATTCCTTCTTTTGGTGCAACTTAATAAATTAATTACTCTTAAAACTTAAAACATTTTCTTTGATGAGTTTTCTCCCTTTAACACTTTAAATTGCATCTTTTTGGAGCCAATAAAAATTAATAAGATATTGCTCTGGGCTATTATTCAAGGAAGTACAGTAACTGTATTTTTACCACTTCATAAGGGTTGAATTAGAACTTTAAAGCCTGATTGCTACTTGTGAATTAACTCAAGCAAAAGTGACATGCATGCACAGTGTTGTTTAACCCTTTAAGCCCCGAAGGAAATGGCAAGTTTTTCTAAATCAGTAACCATGAACCAGCAGACCACATGTGATATAAGTATGTTATAAATCATACCAAAAGAAATAGAGGCCACAGATTGGATTGACAAGTGCCCGAAATAAAAAAATAAAGCGTTTAAAATTTTTCTGTTCCTTGTACACATTGGGCATCCCCCTTAACTATAGCTTAATTTACAGCTCTCAGTGCATTGTTTGTTGTCAGATATTAGCTTGGTCTAAAAAGTACAAAGACAAAAGGTTCCAAAAGTTGCAGGGGTGGTAAATCAAGTCTTGTATAGGAGGGGGGCCTGATATTATGCCTTCAAGGTGCAGATCTTTCCAAGATCTTTTAGTTGTGCAAATATCATGCAAACTGACTGAATATTGAACATGTAATTGTATCTTGTGCCATGTGTCACTATCAGGGCTTACACGTGTGCAATTTCTACTTAAGCAACTTTCAAACAAGGGGTGCTGTTGAGTTGTTATTATTATGTCGTGCCACTACTATGCAAGCACCTGTGATTATTCACACCGGTTTCATCATGATTGTGTTTATGCCAACTGGGATGTGATTTTATTTATTCACACAAGAGGGGAATCAGGCTCCACTTAAGCTTTCCATCAGGACTGGCACACTAATAAAGAGACAAAACTGTATAATTTTGCTTTCAGAGATGTTGAGTGAGACAAAAGGCAAAAGGCTGGGAACACTACGGTGCCGTGGCCTTAAGCGTCCAATAGTTAGAGGCCATGCTACAGCCTTTAAGTACTGGTTCAATGCATTTGGTCACACGGGGCCCTACAGCCAAGCAGTTGAAGTTTTTAACAGATGGGTCCCAAAACGTTGTTGCCAAGGGGAATCCCATGAATTCACCAGGTAAATGTAGTCTTGGTGGTTAAATTTAGTTCTTAATCATTCTACCTGAAGAAAAGTACCTTTCTAGGAAGAAGCACCATCTTCAATAGCATGAGAATCTGACAGTGGAGGCTTGTTTGACTTTGACACTTTATTTGTTGTTAAATGTAACCTATTTGACTTTAGCCACTGCGGCCTTTTGTCTCTACAGTACAACATGTCCAAAATCAGTATGTTCTGATTACTTTGTGCTAGCTGCTAGGCAGATCTTCTTGCCCTCACCAGCTTAACAGAAGTTTGTGTGAGCTAGCTGACTTAACATCATTTCTATTTTTGTTTTTGTACTTTTATCAGATTATGAGATATTTTTTGTGTCTATCAACTAAGAATATAATGACAGTGTATTTTTTTGTTTTTGTTACCAATCAAGAGCTTATCAGGAACAACAGCTGTTATGTAACTTATCCTTATCACATTACTTAGCTGTCAAACAGACAATAAAGCAGCTTGTCAGGAGGTCATCACGGCCAACAAGGAGAGACACCCGTCAAGAGAGGGTGTCATATGAACCTAAAAAGGCCCCTCCATTCACCCTCCATCAGTTGAAAAGAATGCGTCAATACTGTTTGAGGACGGTAGAGGTATTTATGTCATCTTTTAGAATGCAGAATACAAATAATGTGACCAGATATTAAAATTAATGGTAGAAATAAATACAACTGTATTAATTTTATTGTAGTTAGGTAGATAGTCCAGCAACTTCATGTCCTATCCTATCTTATCCTATCCCAAATACCTTTCCTCATGTTGACCTAGCTATAAAATTAATACAGTAATCAAGGCTGTACAACTATTGTATGAATAACTGGAGTCTTTCTTATGTTGTGTGTGGATTATGTTTAATCAGTATTAACCAATTGTTGCTAGCTAATGTATGGAAACTTATGTGTAGCCCTTCTTTATTCTGTTATTGTAATTCGTAGTAATATTTGTTGTAGAGTGGCAGGGATTATGGCTTTGGACAGTAACCCTTTTCTCATTTGCCCTTTTCCTCCGAGGGGAGGATACACTACGTCTAAAACTGCGCCATTTAAAACTGCCTCCAAACTAATAAGGTTTGTCCTTTTTTACAAATTTATATTACATATAAAATAGTCTGGTCAATGAAAATGTCAACCATGCCTGAACCCGATACTTAGTACTAGTCCAATAAGCCCTAAAAACACTGAAAGAAGAATGGAAATAAATACAAGACAACCAGCGGGCAAGAGAAAATCCAAGTGCCTACAAGCCAGTGAACTGGAAAATTTAATTACAAACCACTTGCAGGTATATGGTTTTGATTCCATTGTTAGGAAACATTTCTGAGAAGGGTGACATTTGTGTTCTGTTTAATGCATGATGAAATCTTTGTAGGGTCAGATTGAATTGTAATTGAGCCCGCTTCAAAGCAAATAGCCCTTTTGGTGTCTGTTCTGTTTTATGCCAGAGGAAATTTTCACTGAAATCTCTCATTAGTCTTTTGAATAATATCGGTGTTTTTTTTTTATTATTTGGCTGTTTTCATTGTTGGATGTTTAGTTTATTTCATGTGCGGACTATAAATGCCAATAGCAATGTGTAAGCTGTAGCAATGTGNTCAATGAAAATGTCAACCATGCCTGAACCCGATACTTAGTACTAGTCCAATAAGCCCTAAAAACACTGAAAGAAGAATGGAAATAAATACAAGACAACCAGCGGGCAAGAGAAAATCCAAGTGCCTACAAGCCAGTGAACTGGAAAATTTAATTACAAACCACTTGCAGGTATATGGTTTTGATTCCATTGTTAGGAAACATTTCTGAGAAGGGTGACATTTGTGTTCTGTTTAATGCATGATGAAATCTTTGTAGGGTCAGATTGAATTGTAATTGAGCCCGCTTCAAAGCAAATAGCCCTTTTGGTGTCTGTTCTGTTTTATGCCAGAGGAAATTTTCACTGAAATCTCTCATTAGTCTTTTGAATAATATCGGTGTTTTTTTTTTATTATTTGGCTGTTTTCATTGTTGGATGTTTAGTTTATTTCATGTGCGGACTATAAATGCCAATAGCAATGTGTAAGCTGTAGCAATGTGTAATGTAAGCTGAGATATGCTGAATGTTTAACACTACTGGAGTGGAGGAGTCCTGGAGTGAAATCACCCTTGCACATACTGTAAAAGTTAAAAAGATGGGCTGGACAGATCAATGGGCCAGTAGTAATGTGTTGTGCACATGTGACATGAAAACCATTCATCTTAGCACACAAACAATCAGTGCAAACATCCTTAAGTGCCACGATGATGCAAGTTTTAAACCAGCAGAAAAACTACACAATGTTCTTAGAATTTCAGAAAGTAAATTCCTGGTAAATTTTGTTGTTATTTATTTTATTTAGCTGATTCTGGTAGAATGCCAAAGAGGATTGAGGTCAAAATCTCATGGTCGAAAGCAGACAAAAAGGCAAAAGGTGACATGTTATGCTGCATTTAAAAAAAGACTGTTTAATTATATAGAAAACTTGAATGTTAAAAGTGAAACCTGTATTCACCTTGTCTAAACTTTCAGGCAGGTTTGGTAGTGTCATGTCTTAAGCACTGACAAGACATTCTGCCGATCTAAAGATGCCAGTGGATTCTCAATTGCTTGGTCATTCGTCGCCATGTTTGAGAACATGACAAAAGTATGTTGCACATGGTTTGCTTATTTGGAAATTCTCAAGGCAAGGCCACCATTTTTACCAAAACAACACAAAATGTTGCAAGAACTGCAAATGTCTTTGCTTCTCAATCAAAAATGCACATTTTAAAGAGTTCTGGATTCACTGATGGCACCTTGGGAAAGGTATGCACAAAATCTAACCAAAATCAAAACGTGGAATCAAACAATCGTGAATCGAAGCCAATGTTCATAATAAAATTGTGATTAACTGAGAATTTAATTGATCATTATAACACTAGGATTTGATGGTAATGATAGATATTGATCTACTAAAGCACAACCATCAAAAATACACCATGGCCAATTAGATTTTGGTCAGGGAGTAAACCCATATTTTTACTGATCCAATATTTTCAGGTGTGGCACTTTCTCTTTGGGCCAACCCTTTGAACCGTGAACTATGCCCAGTTACTGCCCTTTTTGTGTGGTTACTAATAACAGGTTTGTTGAATTTACATGTTTGGTACATGTTGTTGTTGTTCAATTCAATACAACAGGTTTCTAATTCATAATATTCCTGTATTGGCAAACCTGTATGTAAAAAGGGTTTTGTATGCAGAACTATCACATTAAGCAGCCTACATTGAGTAAATCAATAAGGAAATCAGCTCCCAGACTTTTTCTATTTTTTATTTTTGAATTATGATAACAAAAAATGTGCTGCTAAAAAATTACGGTTACTTCCCCCCCCCCCCCCCACCCTACCCCACTCCCCCCCACCACAAATATAAAAATTTAATTCTATAATTAGCTTTTAAGTAAGCAATAAGGTGTTTTTTCTTTTCTTTACCTACAGGAATTAAAAGAGGGCAAAATTATATTTTCCCTAGAGTTGCTAAAAGCAAATGAGCAGTGCTCCCTAACTGTGCTCGTGGTGTCACATCATACCGAAAAACCTTTTTGGAGGTTGTATGTCCTATTTTTTATCACTAATTAATTGGGTGTAATGATGTAATTTAGAGGCTGTATGGATGTGAGATGGTAGATGTGGGGATACAAGGAAGGGTACTAAATTTATCTTCTGACACAGTATACTTGTAGTATGTTCTGGATTTCACTTATCGATGTCAGCATACTTTTATGTTTCAGATGTCAAAGACGCTTTTTAGCAAAGAGTTTACTACCCACAGTATAAGACGGTCTGCAGCACGATGGGCCGCAAGGTGTGGAGCGAATGACAGCTCTATTAAGAGGGCAGGCCAATGGTTTGTGAGCTGATGTAGATTTTAACCTTGCAGTACTGAAATCTCAAAGTCTATGTATTAAATCTACATCTAACAATTGCCCATTTTATGAAATCTATTTGTTTTATATGTTATTTTTCAAACTACTTTCACTTCTGATGTCTTTTGTGTCTGTACTTTAATCGCAAATTCCTATAGAGCAATCAAAACATAAGAATTACAGCTGCCATTGTATAATTTAATTTGATCTAAAACTTGAATAATCTGAATGATAGCTGTTTTGCTTGACTGTAGTTTTGTTATTCATAGATGATCAGTTCTGAAATAAGTGAATTGGACTAAATTAAGTGTTTCATTTTGTGTTTCAGGAAGTCCAACAGTTTCGAGCTATACACCCAAGATGCAAGGGCAGAGATGACTAAAGAACATCATGATGGTCAACCGGTGTCAGACCACAAAATGTGGATGTTCAAACCCCTGAGATAATTGGAGAGATTTAGATTCACAATTAAAGCAATAAAAATACAATTTGTATGAACATGTAATTTTGTAAACATATATTGTTTAAACTTTGACTCAAATTTGAATGAATTTGAAGGCTTACACATAGAAATGAAGCAGGGTCTAGAAACATTCTTGAGTTGGTTTAAAATATGCAGAAAAGGGGACTTATGAGTCATGTAACAATTAATAATTCCAGATCAGACTAAAGTAAATCTCCTGTGAATTAGGCCTTAAAATTGGCCATTTTGGTTCTCATTACACCACAGTTTGTTTGAGAAAGGATTAACACATGATTTGAACAAATGATCAGTTACCACACCTTTCAATTACACATGTATTCTGTAAAGTTCTGAGACCCAATTACTATTGGTTTTTTCACTGCTGACAATCAATGAACCTTGAATTATGGAACAATTAAGTCAAGTAATATGAATGAATTAAATTTAATTATCAAAACTCACCAAGTGGACCCTTTCTTTTTTGTATGAGGTTTGCTAAGAAAATTGATGGTAGCAAACACTGCAATAGGCCTTTATTGTATTAGCACGATGGAATTCTGATTTTGTATATTAAATAGCCTGGCAGTTTTTGTTTGTGTTCAGTAATCGACATCCTCGGAGACCCAGGGGCGGTTATTTGGGGCGAGAGGAAATAAATCGGGCAAAGAAATGAAGCATCACAGGTTTACAAGTAAGGCAGATTTATTTCCTCTCGCCCCAACTAACTGCCCCTGGGTCTCCAAGGATGAGTAATCAAAGGACTCTTCAAAACTAACCTAGTCTGTCACTCTCTACATTGTAACTTTTTGTTAGTGACCATGCCTGCTTGATGTTATAGTTAGTGCCTAAAGTCGAGGAAAAAAAAAAGTTATGTCGACTCTTCAGCATTGCCTGATGGGCTTCACATTTATTGGTAGCATGGAGTGTATTAAATTTGTAGTTCACTTAGATTTTTTAATCGAGACCCAGGGGACCGCCCAAATCTTTACTTATGCCTGGATGGAAGCTGAATTGCTGCAAGCACTATCAAATTCAGTTGCAGTTGAAATGATTGCAATTACCCCCATTTCTTCCTCGGCCCTAGGGTTTATTTTTTTTCTTTTTATGTTAAATTTTAGAATACTGCTTTGTGCAGTATTGTTTTATGTGTTCCAACTGCAATTTTTGGTATCCTTGTAGTGCTTCCTGTTCTCTTTATTTGTCCAATAGTCATTACAGCAATTTTTCATCAATGCAAGTAACTTAAAGCTAACAAATCCATTACAGGATTGTGAATTTGATTGCTTGAAAAGTTCAGTGAAGCTTAAATTGTTAAAACACAACATTCAACCGGACCTCCCCACTAAACTGTCGTGTAGGGATTCAGGGGATGCCATATTAAGTTTATACGTCATCCAAAGGTGACAGAAACTCGTTTTGTGGGCATGTCTTAGATTCAGTAAATCCTTATTTTTTCTTATAGTTTGGTACCCTAAGCGCAAGCACTCTTCAAATTTTGGTGTTCACAAAGGAAGCACCACAGGTCACTATTTATAATATGCTTTCTTCACTATTGCACCTGACGTGCGTTTCTGAAACCTACGGAAAACATTTCGTGCCCGAGAAGTCTTAAGTCGGTTTCCAGTCTATGAGTAATATCTTTTTGGGCAAACCAGCACAGTGTAATTCTCAATTTTATAACGTGTTTTGTTCGATTTTCTGGTAATGAAACTGGTGTACGTAAATTGGTATTTCGTGACCGAAACGTTTTCGGCAGTGTGAGAAACGCGCGTCTGGCACTGTTAGTATCGTTAACATCAGGTAACATAAACAACGATTACAATATGGCCTTTTCAGAAACATGCTGAAATTTGACAAATAAATCTGTCAACGAGGTGGATGTAGCGAAAACAATAACGTACAAAGTTTAGAAGTGTTGATTCCAGAGGTCATCACCGCACACGACAGCATTAGTTTTTCCGAGACGACCTTAAGGTCATTCTTGTCACCTCACTTGATTCATTCTCGGAAACATTGGACGATGACAATGATGTTTCTTTGCTGTCATGCACGTCCGCGTGGATTTCGTAGAATTCCAGAAGGGCATGGGCCGTAGACATTTCAATTGGTAAATCCCTAGAAAGTTCACTTCTACACTCGGGGCAAGGGACACCACAATTGAAGCACACTGGCATGTCGTCAAACCAAGGCATGGTACAGGGCTCGTTAACGGAGAAGGCACAGTCCTCTTTTGGGTACGCTGGGCTTTTTCTTCGCCATTGATCTTGGCACCACTCAATCATTCTTTTAGTTGCTCTCTCTCCAGGTTTCCAACCCTCTGTTGCCGTCGTTACTTCTTCTTCCTCCATCCTGNACATTGGACGATGACAATGATGTTTCTTTGCTGTCATGCACGTCCGCGTGGATTTCGTAGAATTCCAGAAGGGCATGGGCCGTAGACATTTCAATTGGTAAATCCCTAGAAAGTTCACTTCTACACTCGGGGCAAGGGACACCACAATTGAAGCACACTGGCATGTCGTCAAACCAAGGCATGGTACAGGGCTCGTTAACGGAGAAGGCACAGTCCTCTTTTGGGTACGCTGGGCTTTTTCTTCGCCATTGATCTTGGCACCACTCAATCATTCTTTTAGTTGCTCTCTCTCCAGGTTTCCAACCCTCTGTTGCCGTCGTTACTTCTTCTTCCTCCATCCTGGCTTTCAGATGGTCCAACGGTCTTGCGTCCAACAGCTTGCAAACAAAATTTACAACAACCTCGTGCATTTTCCATCTGAATTTCAGGCCCGACGTGTTCCTCCTCTGTTTCTTAACAAATCCTAACATTAAAATAAACTGCCAGACAGCTATATCATAGAGTGGTCTTAGAAAGGACAAACGGTTTGAAGACAGCATGTTGACAGTTGCCAAATATGCCAGTATGTGAAGTATGGGTGATAGATTAATGAACTAACGCTTACTCATCCCTAGGGCCCTCTCTGTCATTTTGAATGCCGCGAAGGCCCTGGGGACAGGTTTTTGTCGACCCTTCTGGTCGTGGAAAATGGCGTCCTCCTCATTGAAATCTTCTGGGCCTACGCAGACAGTGTCTTCGAAAAGTAAACTTGTACCACCGTTAGTTTCAGATCTTCTTGATTCGGCTATTTATTCATTTGGTTGTCAGTCAGGATTAAGATCCAACCATAAAGTCCGTGAAGACCCAGTTTTGGAAGGCGTTTCGGCGTTTCGGCGTTTCTTGGACGAATGCTGTTAACCAGCAATGCTGAAACTCAGGCAGCGTTTGAAGAAATAACAGCTACAAGACTGGGTAAATAAATAGTTATGATGTTTATATAGAGACATTTCATTATTTACAGATAGTTTGGTTGAAACTTTGAGGGCCTTGGAAGACCATTGATTGCCACGTGGGGCGAATAAACCAGGTCGTTTCGCCCGATGTCCAGTTTGCCCGGAGTCGTTTCGCTGGGGCTGAGAGTCGATTCGCCTGGAGTATGAAGTCGTTTCACCCGAGGATTGAAAATAAATCTTTTTTTACTGGTTCTCAGAATAAATAGAATCACGGCAAGTTCAAGATATTCATCTGATCGATGTAATGATGAGTATAACAGAAATAAAGAGGCCAAAAAGGTGTGTGAATATTCCTTGTTCTAAAAAGGGCACCCACAAACATAGAATAAGTGTGGACTCTCAATCTGGGCAAAACGACTTCATACTTCTGGCGAAAGGACTCTCAGTCCAGGTGAAAGGACTCCAGGCGAACAGGACATTAGGCGAAACGGCCCTAATTTGCAATAGATGACAATAGTCCAAGCCCCCCGGCCCCCCATCAGGGCATTAGACACTGTTTTTCATAAGGTTGCAAATGCCTCACTGAGGGGCAGCTGGTCCATACAAAATCCCCACGGGGGGGGGGGGGGGGNATGTTAAAAAAATACTGCACACCGATCTCCACAGAGACAAAGACACAATGTTATACATTCACAAAGGAAAATGTGATCGCTATTTAATTTTGTAAAAATGTCAATAACTTACCTTCTAAGGTTTCTATTTTAACCTTTTAGGCACTGTTCTATCAGCCAACAAGCCACAAATTCAAAACCCTTTCCAACATGAAGACCAACATGAATTTATGGGGGTGCTGCAAGAGCACTAGCTAGTTCCCAGTGGGTTAATCTCTGGAAAAAGAATTTACATCTATGTTCTTTATGTAGGGCTTATCCTTTTGATGTTTAATAAAGCAGGCTTGTGTTTCGAAAAGTACCAATGTATAATTCTTCTTGTGTAATGTTTTTGCTAGCAAATGCCCCATGGTGGGGACCAACAACCAGTCAAATGCCCGTCCAATGCCCGGGGGTGGAGGCTTGGGGATGGGCTGGCTTGGAATTAACAAAGCCATAAAACTTAAAGTGATATTGTCTCCAGATATACGGCTAAGGAAATTTTTCCCTAAATTTACATTGTAAGTTCAAAAACCCAACAAAGTTCTAACTAAAATGATCGAAAGCAATTTATTGCACAAATTGCATCTCTCCGAGCCAAACTTAAATATCTCGAAAAACTGTCAGGATGTCTCATTCATTTTCAAAAATCCCGTGTAGTTTACATCCTTACTGTCTAATGCATTTCTGTTATTTGCATAGTGCTGTTGGACAAAATCAAGCCATTATTATTGGGTTTGCTATGATTTTGGAAATTTTTTGACCTTCTCTAAATCATGAAAAAATGAGGACACCGTACTGTCCCAGTATTATTCTATCGGCCAATTGATACCCAATCTTGCTGTCAAGCTGATTGTTTCCACTCATTCTAGTCTTGAGGTGAAGACGTAGATTTACTCAGGCTATGCAAGATTATCAATCCTAAGAAAATTCTTTTTTTGAAGTTTTTTTAGCATTCTTTTGTGCCTTGGCTGAGGATATTTGCAATAGACTAAGTTGGTTGTAGCAACTAATGAAAATGTTTTACTATTTTATTGATCCATGGCAT